GCGTTGTATACCTACAATGGACCAAGAAAAGAATTTAATACAAAAGAAAAAAAGAAGAAGGGTGCTGAGATTTCCAATTGGCAAATCCAGGAAGTGGCGGCACCTCCGCCTAGATGGGGCAGATGGTGAGGCTGGCGTGATATGAGCCGAGGGACAGAAATGATCCAAGAAGAATCATCAACTAGATGAGATGAGTCTGAAGAGTGACTCGGTCCTTCCCGACGGGAAGGGAGGGCGAATTAAAGACAGCTGGCGATGTCCCGCTCCGTGCGAGAGATGGCATGAGGTGATGCAGGACTCACAGTGACAGCCCCTGAGCCTACGTAGGAAACAGAGACCCTACAAATAATCAAAGGCATGGAGATGAAAGAAAAGCATTTTCACCAAGAAATTAGTGAATTGGCTTTTAAAGTTATAATAACAAAATATCAGCCAAAGTGTAGTCCAATTGCTATTTCACATAGTGCTCTTGACGTTATGAATTGATGTGCCCCTTTAAAGGGAAATAGTTTGGCTGAAGATAATAACCACACTTTGCCGCAGTAATTGCATGTATGAGAATCCAGCCTATGAAATGAACCTAAAATACTTCTACACCCCAAGCTATTCGCTTTAGCATTCTTTATAATAATAAAAAACTGAGAAAACATTAGATAACTGCAAATAGTGAAATCATTAAGAAAATTACAATGTATTCAAAGAGATACACAAAGTAGAGGTAATAGAATGTGCTTATCATATGAGTAAGTAACAAATGAAAATACATTTAAAAGTGTGTGCTTATGAAAAGAGATTAGAAAGAAATACGCTCTAAAAACAGAGTAGGTGCAGAAGTGAGGTGAAATTATGAATGGTTATTTCCTCTCTTTTCTATATGAGCTCTAATATGGCTGGCTGGTATGACTTTTATAATAAAAATATTTTATTAAATTTGGGGCAATATTATTCTCTTTTGCCTGCACGGAGAACAGTTCTGTCACCGAGTATCATTTTGAATAAGAAGGGAAATATTAATATTTATGATGTTTATACCACTGCTGGGGTTTTTTAAATGAATGCAGACTACCTGAGCTGACTTGTACTTACTCTGAGACTTGAGCTCCTTGCTTTATTTTGTTTACCAACATCACCTTTGTGAGTTCTAAACGTAAGATGAATCTGCTTGGGTAGCAGTTGAAACCCCCTTCAAAGATCTTTGCTTTCGGTTTGTGTTTATGCCTGGTTATGTATCTCCGCGGAACTGCTCCCAAACTGAGCCTCTAGACAGGCTGGGACGGGATTGGGTGCTGGCTAAACAAACAATTAGGGGACTGAGGTGTCGGCCCCACCTGAAATCTCAGGCCAGCAGCAAGGACTCACATCAGGCCCCTGGCTGTGGTGTCACGCAGGAGGGGTTTCTCTCTTCCCATGAAGGGTCTGCACTTCTCCTATCTCATATGCAAAAAGTAACCCACAAACGGTGTCGGGCTTTTTCTGATCGATATTCCATCCAATGTCTAAGTCAGTTTTTGAGAAAACCTTACTAATTTCAAGTAAACTCAGCCTCACTTATCATGGCAAGAAATTCCAGCCAGCGCCACACAGGGAGAGAACCCTGAAAGGGATGCTTCCTCCATCCAGTGTGTTTCAAGCAGCAGAGAGAAGCACACAAAGAAGACACCGGGGCTCTGCTCAGTGGACGTGGAAAGGAGAGGGAGGAAACGCGCCCTCTTCAGATGTGATCTCCAAACAGAACGATGGCTCTCTGCTCTGCTCTTGTTATGATACAGCGTGTTACTGAGAGCTCCTCTGTGTAAGTTTTTCTGAGTACAAAACATTGCAAGGCAATTTGAAGAACACGCTTTCTCCAAGGTGAGGGCTGACTCGCGCGGTGAATAGAGCAGCCGGGAGAAAAGGCGCATCTGACTGAAGCTAAAAATGACATCAATCACGTAGAACTGTAATTTGCAAAAGTCATTGTATGAAGTAATTAATCAAAGCACGGCTGAGTTTTCGGGGTTGAGACTTTGATCTGGCAAGTAGAAGAAATACAGTAAAATCGGACAGACTCACCCTGCGGCCTTTAGGACTTAAAATGTCTCTCCATGCCAGTCGCAGGCTTAATTACTTCTTTTGTACCCCCGCTGACGGTCTCAAATTAAAATAAATGAAACACATCAGGACAAATTTTGGATGCATGTTGTGCCTAAGAATACATTGTTCCTGATATAGGAACAGCTCGAGTCCCAGGTTCCTTCAGTTCCATTTGAATCGCTCAGGGAGGAGGGAGAGACAAGATGGTCCAAGAAAGAAAGGGAGCAGCTAAGATACCAAAGGGCAGAACTGGGACTCTCTTGTATCTTCCTGGGCACAGCACTGTGAAAGTTGGGAAAAGCAAAACAGCCCGGCAGGAAGTGGAATAGACAAATGCCCATGGTCACACTGTGCATGCAGCCAATCCCTGTCTAAGTGCAGTTAATTGTTTTATATTTAGTGACAGCAATTGACTATATTACAAATTAATGAGAGGTTGGAAGCTGAGTTGGACATTGTCTGGCCACACATTTGCCATCACCAGAATAAAGCAGGCTCCTTGGAGCTTGAAGCAAGGAGGTATCTGAGGATGTCCCGTTGTCCAGCTGTCCTGGACAGCGTCCTGGGGAGACCTGTGTGCCCGAGTCTGACGGGGGATTTCCTCCGCCTCTCTGGCCCTTTCTGCAACTGCTAATCAGCAGTCTCCTGTTCTCAGAATCCATCATTTAGAGTTTGCATGTCACCAACCTTCTTATCTTTCAATTCCTGGTTTTCTAGTACTTTCTCAAGACCCTTGTACCTCAGCACACTGAGTGGAAAAGTCACAGCAGTGCAGGGCTGTAATAAACAGGAGAAGCACAGCCTCTCTGGGGCCAGAGCCATAACTGCCAGGGCTTTGGGCTCAGGAAGCAGAGATAACACGGTGACTAAATACAGTCATGTGTGTGTGGCAACATGCCCAAACCCAAGCAATGTGTGACTGAGGCTGGACAAACATTCAAAAACCTATTCCACTGACGAAGCAATGACCAGCCAGGGGTGGTGGTGCACGCCTGCCATCGTGTACTCTGGGAGGCTGAGACAAGACAATTTCAAATTCAAGCCCAGCCTGGCAACTTAGCCAGTTAGTGAGACTCTGTCTCAAAACAAAAGTAATAAGAATTAAAATAATAAAAAAAAGGAAAGGACATTCTACTGGTGCTGCTGTGTTTGCATGAGAGGACCAGGTAAGGACCTGCAGTGCTGGTAGTGTGATCTTACCATCTGGCAGTGGAGCCAGGACGTTGAAAGGCTGTAGGAACCTGTGTTCCTGTCCCCGACACCTCCACTCACCTCAGGTCACCGACAGCCCCCCGCACAGACCACCTGTCCTTCCTTTGCACAGGGAGGGTGTGTGTGCCAGGGAGAAACCACACTTCCTCTCCCGCCTAGCTTCCTCACTCTGCGTCCTGGGAGACTTCATGGCTCCCCCTTCCAGAACTCATAGAACCGACTGCTGGTCGCCGTCACCTTCCAGCGGCCCTGATGGCTCTGGGTGCATCTCTGGGGACAGCAGGCGGGAAAGCCACCCCGCCCCAGACTCAGACTCCTGAGTGCCCACAGTCACTCGGCCCTTCACCAGCACCTCCGCCTGCTCTGCCCCTTCAGAGGCCCAGCTCTGCTGAGTCCTCCAGCTACCTTTAAAGAACTCTAAGGTCTTCTTCACATTGAAAAGAAGAGAGGAGGGGAAGGAAGCCTGAGCCCCAGCTCCTCGCTTACCTGCGCCTTTTCCCAGCCAGCTTCCGGGAGTTGGTCTCCATGATCTCCTCTCCCTCAGCCTCGGTTCCACTGTGCCTGCCTTTGGTGCTGACTTCTCCACCTACCTTCTAAAGACGCTCAGGAAAGACACTCCAGAGCGGCTCCAGAAAGTGGCAAGAACAATGAGATCAATGTGCCTGAAGTGAAGGGCAGGGCTGAGGATGTCGCTCAGTGGTGCTGCACCTGCCTGGCAAGCGCAAGGTCCTGAGTTCAATTCCCAGTACCGGATTAATGACACCGTGTCTTTCACTGTAATTAATTTTTACAATTTACACATTCACCATATTTTTCTAACACACCTTGTGTATGTTGAGGAAATTTATTAGGTCCCATAAATTGTAAATTCAAGGAAGACTCTCATTTTAGTCACACGGAACACAGTGTCGCCTTCCCCCCATCTTTAAACCACGCTTCACGCTCCTGTGAACTCTCTCTCCGTGGGTTTCCTTTGGGAGGCACGAATCATGCCACATCTACCAGCCACAGCAATGAATCTCACCAATAAGAGAATAGGAGGTAGGGAGAACAAGAAACCAAGTGAAACTATGATTGCAGTAGTCTGACAAATATCTTCGAAGCCTGGTAAATGGTGTTCAAGGTCCCACACGACCCCTCAGCACCCCAGCCTGCAAGGAGCGTTCTTTTCTGCCAGTCGTCTGGTGATTTCGGGCTGTTCGTATGGACCCAGTGACGCGCGTGGCTCCTGGGACTTGGACACCAAATTAGACATCGCTGGTCTTTACAGAACCCGGTGGAGGCTGTGGGAGGCGGCAGGGACAACACCAAGTGATAGCCTTAAGGATGGAGGACGGGCGGGGCGGGGCGCCGGGGCCTGCTTTGTGGATGGAGCAGAGGTTGGAGGGGAAGGAGGAACAAAGGCACAGGGGCCCTTTATGCTTGGGGTAGGGTTTCGTGTTCATGCTCAGAGCAAAGGAGCACCATGGAGGAGCTCTGGGGCTGGAGGGAGGTTAGTCCTAGGCAGGAGACAGCAGCTGGTGGATTTAGGAAAAGCAGTGAGACCGTGGGAAGGGAGCAGCGAGGTCCAGGAGGCGCTGGACGGAGAGTGGAGAAAGGGAGGTGAGGCAGGTGAGGAAGAGGTGAGGTGAGGAAGCAGGAGAGGGCAAGTTTGCTGTCATCTTTACAGGACCCTGATTCTGCAGGAGCCACAAAGAAATCTGCCTCCTCAAGTCCTTCTGTAGAAAAGCACACATCTCCTCGCACTTCTGGAACGTAGAGGCCACACCTACAAAGAAGGACAAGGAGGAAAGCAAAGTTTACGAAGGAAACCATGAGAATTCTGCCTCTGGGATTCTAAAAATTGGAACAGAAAACTGGACACAAGAAATTGTATCCAGTGTGGAGGGTTAGGGTCCAGCACTACAGGGTTGTTTTGTTTTGCTTTGTTGCTTAACTCCCCTCTTAGACTGTTTGATTCAACAGCTTCACAGTTAATTGACTCTCAGAGATCCTTCATGTGCCCTTCATGAAGATCACTGACGTTCTCCTCTTTTTAATTAAATACTTACTTGACCCAAGAAACGTTTTCTTCAGCTCCAGCATCATCATGTCAGGAATCGAAACTGTGAATTGTGTTGCATTGCATTGCCAAGTACCAAATTAATAAAGGAAAGTAAAAAACTACCAACACCCTTGATGATATGTAATCAGACAATGCTACAATGAGTGCATTTTACTTGAAGTATTTTTGAATTGTTTCTGCAAAGAAAAAGTCTCATAATGTCTGAAAATCAGAATAAACTCCCTCACAAAATGCTTCAAAAACTGCCTGCTTTCTAAGAAACAGAAATTTAGCAGTGAAATCAGCAGGAAACGCAAGAAAAATACTGGACTGCAAACTAAAAATAGAAATGAAATGCATCCTAAGAAGGAATAAATAAAAAGTATCACAAAAGGTAACTAAATTCCCTAACTGTCTAACCCAGTTGAGTCAATACTTCTGTTCAAAAAAAAACATCACTTAAGAGAAATCTCTGCTCAATGCCTGTGATATTCCAGGAGAATTGCCAGTCTGGTGTAAATGAGAAATGTGTTTGTCCACATACTATAAATTGGGAAGAAATTTGGGTATGGGATCAGTAACCTGACAAGAGAGAACGAACAGGGCTCAGAGAGAAGCCACCGAAACTTAGCCTGGGCTATCCATCAGGTCACTCAATTGTCTCCATATGGAGCTATTAAAATAGATCAACGCAGCTGCAGCTCCGGCCTCCATACTGGGCTCCTGGATTATGCAGAAAGCTGTATTCAAATCACTCCTCAGCCCACTTCTTAGCGTGCCAGTTGAGGGATTCTGGACAGAATCAGGAAACTTGAGTACAGCGACTGCTCACTTTGAAAACCTTTGCTCAGCGCGCTCAGCTTCCTGTAGCTTCTTCCTGTGACTCAACTTTTCCATCTGGTTTTACCCCATGGAAATAAAAAAGGAAAAGCTTTCAGATGGGAGAGAAACAATGGAAAAGATAGTCTATTTTCCCCTTTACTTTCAAACAAAGCTTGGTGACATGTTTGCTAAAACAGGCAGTTTAACGGCGTGCGTGTGTACACGTGTCCAGGATTAAATAAAGGCTTGGAAGAATGAAATATAATGTCTTCTAAATACCAAAATGACTGATGTCTTTTCAAGGACACAGAAGAGCTGAGTTGGTCAATGATAGATTCCAATGCTATAGATGTGAATAAATAGTTCACGCTGACTTAATGCTAAAATCCTCTCTAGAATATCAAAATAAATCCTGAAAAGAGAACATCTCTTGCAATGCTAGGTGGGCAGGTTTGACCTAACAACTACAAATAACTAATCTGATTTGTCTCCCTGACTGAGCTGGGTTTCTAACTGAATTGATCTTGCTGTCTCACACTTACAGGAAGCCAGTAAAGCCAGCTTGGTGGTTACAGCCTCTTCTACAGCCACCCGTCTGTGTCCTGCACGGAAACCGCAGAGACATTTCCAGAACGAATCAATGTCCACACCTAACACACATTTCAAAGCAGTTTCCTTCCTAATGCCATTTTTTCCTTTTCTCAGAAATATTGCTCTCCCCCCATATCTACTTTGAAAATGTGAAAATATCTTTTAGGAACCTGGTGAGTTCATTTGTAACACGTAGTTAGAAACTTCACATGAAAGGCAAAAGGAGTCAAATCAATGCCTTTTAGAAAGTGAGTTAAGAGGAGATTGTTTTAAGCACTCATCACAATAAACTCTTCCGGAAGAAGGAAGTGGGCACTTACAGTGAGATTTGTGACACTAGAAACAAGTCAGCTACCACAGGGCAGGATTTGGAGCAGCGGGTCTCCACTTTTAATGTGCCCAGGAGTCTCCTGAAGCCTGGTTAAGATGCAGCCCACACTCGCAATGAGGTCTGAATTCTGCACTTCTAGGCCCCTGGCCTGTAGACAGAGGCCTGGCCACCTGCAGGGCCATCTCCAGGCCCTGTGCGGGCTGGGGCTCCCCCATCCCACCAAGCTGCAGGGCAGAGGTGCTGCCCCCTAGCCTCCCCATTGGTGTGGTGTCCAGCAGGAGGCTTGCTCTTCAACCCAGCTTCCTGGAGACTCCACAAAACCTCATGGGGCTCCTTTCTGATTGGCCATACTCTGTATGTAGCATGGTTTCTCATCAGCAGCTATCCCCAGAGACAGTGTCCCAGCCTCCCTCCACTGGGACTGAGGCAGAGATGAATTCTGAAGTAGACCTGCTCTTGAACTCCAGAACTTTTGCTGGTTTCATAAGTTCCAGCCACTCAGGGAATCTGCACAAAGCTCAATTTTCCCTTGAGATAAAAATGGTGGTGCTAATAAAAAAATAGCGAATACCTATCTGTGACAGGTCATTGTGAAGATCAACGAGATAAAGCAAAACTCCTTGGAGCTGTAAAGACTCCAGAAATTTCTGGGAATGTTATTACAGATCCTGGGGAGTGTTTTAATAAGGGGTCTGGGATGTTTTAGGAACCAAGAAAACAACAATATACCTAGCTCATGGAAAGCAAGTGAATTAAACCTAAAGTAAAAGGAGTCAATAAATGAAGAAAGACCACATGAGGTTGTGTGAGTCTTTCTTGGACGAACGGTGAAGGGAGATGGAAATGTGAACACAGAGGAGAAAGAACTTATCCCAAGGTCAGCTTGGCTAAGCTTTGGTGGTGCAAAACAAACAAACAGGCTGGCAGTGTGACATTCTGTGACACGTGGATGGTGGCCCTGGAATCTGACACGTATTTTAGGGCTGCCACGCGTACACAGGTTTACTGTAAGAGATTTCATTTTTAGAGTTTTAGGCCAGGGATTTGGCTCAATGTTTCCATCGCCTGCCTCAAAAGCACAAGGTCCCAAGTTCAACCCCCTGTACCAAAAAACCCCAAAAGAACAGAAAAACCCTGACCTACGGAGATTATAAATTGTGTGAAAACGTTGGCATTTTTAGAGTTTTGTTATGTAAATGTTCTTTTAAAACCACACAGTCATTCTGACAAGTACACACCCTCATAAGATAAATATTGGTTTTTCTATTTTAATGGCAATATCCATTCTGCTGTAAAACACAAACTCACAGAACTAGAAATTACGGGAAGCCATTTTTTGTTCCTTTCTCTCTTTTCTCATCCTAGAAATTTTATATTTCAGATGATTCCTTTATAACCTGGTTATTACAATATTTATCTCATATCTCCAAGAGCAATTAGGAGCCTTAGCCAACGCTTCTAGAATATGCAGATGTCTCTATTGTAAGATTTAGCAGGGGTGAAAATGATGTTAATATATTACACATAATCAAAATTCAGTAGCAAAAGCGATGACTGTATTCCAAATGTGTCCGTCACTCTTTTTTTTAAAAAAAATGTTTTTCTTCAATAAATGAACTCCTGCTAGACATTTTCTTTCTTGAGAGTTAATCTTTCTATTAGGATCATAATTTGCCAAACAAAATCTTTGTATTTTTCTCAGGTTCACTTGTTTTTCTTCTTTTTAAATAGGTAAAGGTTCTGTGAATAGATTCTGGAAGGACCATTGTCATTTGCAAAACGTGTGAGGTTCAGAGAACACAGCAGCGGGGTGGGGGGTGCACATCCCATGTGTTCGGTTTTGCCAAAAGAAGAGGCCCCCTGAGACTTCTATCGAAGTCTGGCTCTGGGATCAGTTTAACAACTTGCTTTGAATTCATATGAGTCCCGGCTGCTAAATTTGCAAATGCTTCCACATCAAGGTTCTGCACCCACTGTAAATGTGGCCTCCCTTCAAGAAGATAGCCATATTGGTTGCTAGGAGATGGAGGGATCCTCTCTGAGAAAATTCAGTCTCAACAAAAAAAAAATTTTTACATAAAGACCTTTTAAATATAAATCTTTGACAGCAGCTATTATTATTCACCGAGTTCCTTCACATCTGAATAAATGGCAGAAAAATGATATTATTCATATGCCATTATACACTAAAGTGTTAAAATAGAATAGATTCTTTTTCCCTTCTCTCCTCCTTGCTCTCTCTCTCTTTTTCTTTGTTATTGCTAAAGAGAAAAGAGAGAGCTTTTTAAACACTTTTTTCAATTGAATTTCTCTGCTTTCCTTTTTAGATCCTTGGTATAACAGAAATCTCTCCAAACCCAAGACCGAGGATGTGGATTACTGCAGCTGCTTTCCAGCCCCTAATAACTCTTTACAATGAAGGAGAGAGCAGCATCCGCGAGGCCACAAAGAGAACGTCCACCGTCCCTAAGTAGGCGGCTGGGGAGAGCGGGTGGGAGACTGCTCGGGAAGCAACCATCCGACAATTTCATTTCAGTAACGTTTGCAATTTTCTTCCTAGCGGGTTGGCTGGAGCCACAGCTGCCTGCTGTGTGGTCTGGGTGCTGCGCTTTGGCTGAGCAGGACCTTAACAAGCAGAGGTGAAACAAGTCGGTGCGCTTGCTGTTTGTGCACTGAGCAGCCGATGGACGGAGCAGTGGTTTTTCCTGATTCCCTGTGCCTGCCTGCCTGTGGAGACCAAGGGAGCCTCCCAGCTGTGCCCCAACTTGGGGGCTCAGAGCCCCAGAGCCCCTAGACATGAACCCCAAAACTCGCAGTCAGACATCACTGGTGCAGTACACTTCATTACCATCAGAATGGCCAGCCCAGGGTACCATTTTTATTATTTTTTTCATTTTTATTATTATTCTGAGTGCTGTATGGAGTTTCTAAAGAACTTATTGTTACTGTTGAGTGCCCTAGAATCGGACTGAGACATGTT